GTACTGCTGTCTTATGTTCTTTCAGACACAAGGTGGAGCTTTGGGCTCTTCCTTGATATTCCCATTGAAGTGCAGGATTTCCTTGTAAAATCATTATTTAAAAGACCTCATTTCTTTGTAATTTATGGGGAAATTCAACATACCAATAATGCTTCAGTGAGGAAGTTTTCTCCGAGTTATCTTATCCTTGTTTGATTTTTGCTTAGAAATACTAGATCCTTCCAAATTAGCTTACTTCTGGCAAAGGAAATACAGGTTAAATCCCATCATAATTAACTAACTGTTCTCTAGTATTACTTGCTAGAGACACAGAATGAATCTGCTAAAAGTGTTACTAACAACATATGACATTGGACATTCAATTTCTTTGAGTAATCCATTATGGAAGTTTTACTGCTCCAGATCTTGTGCCTTTTGATTTTAATGCTATGCTAACATATTGTGGTTTATTACTTTCCCACCAACTAGCAATGCAAACCTACCGCCTCCTCTGGACCGGTCTGGGGGCACAACTAGCTCGTGATGTTCCTTTCTCTGCAATTTGCTGGTCTACTCTTGAGCCAGTAAGTGCTTATAGCCCATAACTTCGCCCTATTCCTGCACCCACACTCTGTTTAATTTAATAGAACTCTCGCTACTTTTGTGAAGGTTAGGAGGAAGCTACTAGGCATGGCGGGAGATGAAGCAAGTGCGACGACTGTCTTTGGTGCAAACTTCTCTGCTGGATTTGTTGCAGGAATTCTTTCAGCTTCTGCTACATGTCCCTTAGATGTTGCAAGAACTAGGAGACAAATAGAGGTTGGTCTTCTCCCATTTTTATTCACCTAAACAATTCCTACAAGAAACAACTAACATAAAAAGTGATTATCCATTGTGAAAGTTTTCTTGGATCACATGAGTAGTTGGACCTCTTAGTAATATACTGATGTCAAGTACAGAATATTGAGAAATTTCTGCTTGATAGTGCACACACCTAAATAAATTTCTTCTAGTTTGGCTGTGGAGTGTGAGTGTATAATTCTTGCTTTCCTGGATCCAATAACTGCTGAGCGGATATTACGCTTAACCTCAATCAGTTGATAAGTTTTGGGTTGGATCAAACATGTTTTTGAAGTGAAAATGATCATGTAGTACTTTTTGCCTTAGGCATTGGTTTACATTGATGAAACCTCTAGTAGGGAACTATATCAAATACAAAGAACTTCTGTTTGCTCAGTGCAGTTAAATACAAAGAACTCTTCTTCGAGAAAAATGTAAGTGCTATAAACGCAGCACAAATTGTGCTTGAATATTTACAAAAAGATCCAGCTTCACATCAAATCAGCATGGAGTCAAATATGTCTAACCGAGTGTCTGCATCATTAATCAGATCCTCTTTACACCAAAAAGAAAACAAAAGTATACAGTTGTTCTTTATCTTCTCAATAGAGCTAGCTGTATCTTTAAAGCATCTTGCATTTCTCTCTTTTCAAATAGTAGCTTGGATAGTTCTCCACCATCGTCCATTTGTTGTTCTTTTGACAACTCCCTTCTATACCAACTTCTCATCAAATCAAATGTTTCTTCAGACATTGTCCATTGTTATCCGAGCTTATTCGGAAATAAGTTCCATAGTTGTAAAACAATAGGGCAGTGCAAAAACAATGGTTGATGGTTTCTGAATTTGTCCCACAAAGATGGAACCTATTACAGAGCTGCAAACCTCTGTCCTGTGTCAACATGCTTTTATGGCAACTAGCCACACAAAGCAAGCCACTGTCAATGGTGACTTTTATCTCCATATGTTCCTTCAAGGCCATGAGTTAGTACTCTGAGGATCAACAACTAATAACTTACAATAAGAGTTAACTACAAAGAACTCTTCTAATGTTAAATTTGGAAGTAGATGATTTGTTTCCAGGCACCAAATCATGAGCTCTTTGGTTCAACTCGCAGAATTACTTGTTGAGTTCACAATCTCTCCCCAAATATGCATTTCTTTTTGATCTACCATTTATTCTGTCACATAATTCTAGATAATTCAGTATTCTAATGCTTCCCAGTAGGGGATGACTTGCGATTCCATCATTCTGTTCAAGGAAAAGTAAGAATGAGCAAAATGAAAAGGTATTTCTGTAAGTTAAGAACATCAAATTTTCGTGGCGAATGAGTTTGTCAACACTCATTTTACTGAAAAGATATTTCTGTGTCCTGGTGGGTGCTGATATGCTTTTAACTTCTCAACCCAGATTTCTAGTTACTCCCAACCTTTTGTTTCCGTTGTTTGTTGATATGGCAGTCTGTTTGATGAGTTTGATGTGGACGTATTAGCTTACAGCTTATTTGGATGGTTGTTACCTATTGTATTGTATTGTATTGTATTGTATAATTCAATTGTTATTTTGATTGGTACTTAAAATTTATTTGTTTGGTATCGTTAAATTCATTGTTACATAATGACGAATGTAACAATTGATTTGGTGTGATCGCGTTGTAACCTTATTTCTTTTCCTCATTTTGTCTTTGCTTATTATTTAATAATTCTATTTTATTTTTACCCTATCTTTTTTATTATAAACTCTACCCCGTATCCTACTTTTCTTTAGGTTTATCCTTGAGATTACTGTGATGCATGTCATTATGTGATGATGGAAAACGATATAATCTATCCAAACATTGTATTCATCAAACCAATATAGTACTATATAATACGATGCATTATAAAACAATATTTAACCACAATCCAAACAAGCTGTAAGAGTTTCCACTGGAATTGGACATGGGACAAGGCTACAACTTTCGAGAACCTGATTGTCTGTTATTTTTATTAACTTAAAGAAGCATGGTGGATGTGGAGAAGTAGACTATAATCTCGACAATCATGAGTCAAGTTAGTATTTTGCGGTGAATCCTCCATTAAGTAGTTTTGCATTATGATTTGGAACGTCAATTCTCTAGAATGACTTTACTTCTCATTTTTTTCACTTCAAGCCCCATGAACTTTCTTGCTTTGGAAACACTAGTTATTATTATTTCCCTCTTTTTTGTTGTTGTTTTAGTGAAATTTTCATTTGTCATGTCAGAATGATCCTGAACGAGCACTGAAGATGACCACAAGACAAACATTGGTTGAGATATGGAGGTATTTGACTTCATTTTATTTCTTAATTTTCGGCTGCAACCCCGTCTCCCCTTCCTGCCCCCTATCTTTTTCAGATACTGCAATTTGTTTTGATCTAGTTGAGTAAAGATATACAGTAGGAGCAATGATGAGCTCTCATAAGTTGATTGATTTATTTTGGTTTTCACAAACTAATCCTTTTCTTTAGTGTGCCAATTGCCGATTGGATAAGTTTTTTTTTTCTTCCAATTAAGTACGATAAGATAGATGTATGGATGATGTATTCTTTTTGGAAGGGGTATGAGGGGAAGAAAATTGAGGATGGAACATTTGTAGGAGCCTCGATTCCTAAGAGATGATTTCGCTGGAAGTGTATGAGGTCCCGTTAAGTGATGACTTTACCGATAAAACACTTCGCCATTTACTCCCAGAAACAGATCCAGCGGAGACGAAGTAGCTCCTTGTCTTCCTTGCTTTCCATTTGAGAATGATCAATCCAATTGATCGACTGGATGTTCTGGAATATCTATTTCGTCATCTTGTCTGTCTCGATTTATTCTTTTATTGTAAGACAGTGATTCATTCATGCTGCTGAGAAAATAATTCTATTTTATCTGGGTGCTTAATAGGTTCTAAATGAGTAAAAATAATGCATAGCGCAGATACACACATTTGTTCCATTTGATAAAAAAAGCCAAAATAAGTGATTTTAGCCCTTATAGAAAGTAAACTGATTCTCGAACTCCTTTCATGCTTGGCCATTTCTAGCAAAGTCTAAAGTACAAGATGAACCTTGGAATACCATTGTGTCTCCCTGAAATCAGCATCTTGCTATTTGTTCAAACTAAGTGTTTAAAAAGTTTGTAGACCATTTTCTTATAGTTCTTTGGTGCTGTGTCCTGTGCTAATTATTGTTCTCATGAACCAGGGATGGGGGATTTAAGGGGTTCTTCGCTGGAGTTGGCCCTCGAGTTGCCCGAGCTGGACCTTCAGTTGGGATCGTTGTTTCCTTCTACGAGGTGGTAAAATATTGTTTGAGCCATAGGCATATGCATCAGCAGAGCGAAGATGCTGATCTATAGCATTGTGATCTATCTTCCAAACCAATGAGGCTAGTGATACTAGCATAACTTCTACCAATAAGAAGCTGAAGATCTAACGGATGATATTTGATGAAATGTAATCTCCTGAAGACCCGATAGTTGCAGCAATTTGGCTCATCACAGGGTACTTCCTTCTTGGCCAATTTTGCCAGTGAGGCTTGAAGGCTAATCAAGCTAGTGGAGAAGTTTCTCTAGTGATATGTCTGATTAATAAATAGGCAGCCAGTTATGCCTTTGTAAATTCAAAACCATTGTCCTACAGGAACTATTGTCGTACATACAAATTCACAAAAAGAAAAAAGCAACTGTACTCTGTTACCTTTGTCAAAAAAAAAAAGCAACTGTACTGTACTTTGTGTATTTCAGAAACTTGAGACAGTAAACACAATAAACTAGGAATATGTGTTGAGTGGAAGTAGGATATAAAATCAGTCGTAGGAAACTTCCTGGAGGGAGAATGTACTTGGGGTTGCTTGCAAAAACTCAAGGAGATGCGTTACACTAGTGCACAAAATGAGACGTGCGACAAACATACCCGGTGAAATTTCATCCCACTGTAGGGAGGATAGAGTGTACGCAATCCTTATCCTTACCTTCATGAAGGTAGAAACACCGTTTCCAAAGGATTCTCTCAGGAAAAAGCAATAGATTGCTACTCTTAAGTGGCTTCTCATTTTCTTCTCACTTCCATTTCTCTTGAGTTCATATGTTCTTTTAGTTGTATTAATTAGTGTGTTATGATGCATTTCGTTTATATCTCAAAAGAACAATTGAAATGTTGACAATAGGAGAAATGAGAAAAAGACAACTAAATATATTACCATTTACTAGAAATTAAATTAAACATGAATGGATTAACCAATTAAATCCATATGAAGAATGATTACAACCATTTCCCCAAAAAAGCAACATAATTTAAAGGTTATAACTGACACTAAATTTAGAAGAAGTTGTAGGAAGAAGCATCCATAGGGTGAATGAGATATGTTAGAACTAAAGCCACCAGCATCAACACATATGCAATCCCTTGATCTACAGATATTCCTGCAAATTACCATCACCACATATATTAAAATTATATATACTGACAACGTAAAAGAAATTCAAAATAGAGATCGATCGAACGAAAAGAGAAAGGTGGGATAGAGAACAAACCATCACTAGTAGGGGCAGGAGCAGGAGCAAATTCTTGAGCTTGAACAGTGAAAAAAGCCATGGCAAAGATGGCCAACAACAATGAAACTACAAAAGCCATAACTAATATCCCCCCACCCTTTCTTACTCAAGAGAGAAAAAAAATGTAATTATCTTGCAAACAAACAACTGATAAATGCTGGCTCACACTTGTGGAGGTTTATATAGTTAGTTTGTAGGATTTTTTATTCTTTTTGTTTTTTTGTTTTATTAAAAATTTAAGTTATGTATATTACTCCATCCATCCAGATTTACTTGTCCATTCTAGAAAATCAACGTATAATATGCCACTTAATTCGTAATTTACTCTTATTAAATATAGTCATTGAATTTATTATATTTAAAGATTAATATAATAAAATTGTCATTATATACGGTGCTTCCTAAGGAATGTGTCAAGTCAATATTGAAAAAGTAAAAATAAATTGAAATAGAATAGTAGTATAAAAGAATGTAATTATTATAGCAAGATAACTGCTTTTATAGATATTAAGTTAATCCATATTATAAAAAATTACTTGTAATTATCTTATAAATGACCCAATTTTATAAATATTTTTCATACTATCTATAAATAGAAATTTATTTTTATTTTATAAGAAGTGAGCATAGAGATAGTGAGGAACCAGCCAAATTGTGGGATCTATCAAACTTTTTTGTTTGCAAACCCATGTGCCACCTCCTTTTTATTCAACTTTTTTTTTCCCATCTAACATCAGCTTATTTAATTAATCAGAATTAATAGATAAGTATTTCTACATAAATATAATAAATAAAAGATTTTAAATTTTTATATTAGTTGTTCAAATAGTTATCAATTTAAATTTTAAATGGAGCTGGTCTTTAGATTATCTGTCCCTTTTGACACCTCAATTATTAACAACCACCTAATTTGAATTTGAATTGTTAATATATCTAAGTGAGTAATTATCTAGCTGTTATCAAGACACTAAAAGTTATCTAGCCCAAGTTTACGTTACACATTTGATCGATCGATAAAAATAAATAATTATATTTATTTGCTAAGTGAAAGATTTTTATCGATTCATGGAGACAAGTTGTTGTGCAATTGAGAGAAAAAGGCCCATGACGCAGAAGGTGGGGGAGCAAGAATACTTTGGATAGGGAAATTCCACATGCAAATTACGACTAACATTTCTATATTGGATAATAAAATAATTCGATTTCTCAACTACGAGACAAATATAAATTCAGAATTTTTATTTGATGAATTCAATGTCACCGGATCCATTAATCTTATAAAATGTTTATCGCGCTATTTTCTCGATTAATTTGGGTAGACTAGGCCCAAGTATGAAAGAAAGAGTAAAGGGTCCATGAAGCCATTGAGTTACATAGGCAGATGGGCTTCATGAGTAAATGGGTGTCTGGTCCATTTCCTTCATTTTCTATCCAACTTGGAATATACGATAGTATTTTTCTTCAATATATATTTTTCACGTCAGGATTTAGAAAAGATATAAGGTTTCCTACATCCATTTTGTATAATTTTTTCTCGTAATATTTTTTAATTGCAAAGCGCTCCAACAATCATAAACTTCCCAACAAACTAAATTCGGAATTCAATTTAATCCATAAGTGATGTTAAAGTTTATAAATTAACAACTAAGAGAATTTTACTTCCGCATACTTAATTGAATAGGGAAAACCCAGCTAAACAATAACCATTTTTATATTCCTCTCGTGACAACTACTGAATCATTTGTTCAAAATTTTGATGTAAAGGAAAACTTTTGGATAATTTTTTCTAGTTAGAAATGCATCAAAATATGATTAAAACTTTTGCTCAAAGAATATCAGTATTTAAATTTGTATCCTAGATACAACGATAATATATAAAAATTAATTTCACTTTCTACTCCCTCCCGCCTCCATTCATTTTTACTAGTCATATTTGGACGTTACTAATGATTAATATGAAAACTTTATCATACTATCCATATTAATTGTTGGTTAGTATTAAATAATTTGAAAATTAAGTGATTAATGCAGGCTAAAACATCTTTTTTTTGATAAATTAAAAATGACAGATAAAAGTGAAAGGAGGAAGTATTATGTTACATACAAGTAAAAAAATAAAAAGGAAGGTTCAAGGTTGTGAGGATCAATCACTGATTTTGGATGTTATTAGCACTAATTAAGAAAAAATGGGTAAAGCGTAAATATAATTAAGTTGATTATACATAGAAATTCATATTGATAACAAAATTATAGTAGTAGTACTAGTTCTCTAGAAACGAAAACATGATCAACCTATTTTACATATATTACAGAAAAGAAAAAGAGTTCAACTTCTATATACACACGCAACAAACCGATTTAAACTTATATAGAGAAAAAAGAGATTTAATTAATAGGTCCAAAGAAAAGCTCCCATAGCAAATTTTCTCTTTTGATTAACATCTCCATTACTAGGAAGTCCATATTGAGTAAGTAAACAATCCACTTTCCATTCTGGCATTGTTTCATATTCAGCTCGTGTGTATCTTGGGTAATGCAATGGCATATGGAACCCATACCCACACCGTTCTCCGCCGTGCTGGCTGTTTATTCCACCGTCCACATCCGGCGGAGTTGGCCGTGCCATAGACTCCATTCCACCTCCGCTCATTTTTATTGGAAACTTTGTGGTGGTGTGGAGAAAAATAGTGTGGCACACTAAGGTATTTATAGAGGAAACAAATAATTAAAGTTTTCTTTTTTTCATTTCTCATTTATTTTTAACTTACAACTTTTTCATTAATAATAATACTAATAAATAAGCACAGACATATTATCCAGAGTTGTGGTGGAATGAAGATGATTATTTCAGAGTCTCGAGTTTGATTATTTATTTTTTGTGTGTGTAAGGAACGTTTTCTCCTTTAATGGACATTACGCAACACAAATTTGAATTAGCAAAACTAGTGAAAACATGGTTCTTTTAAAAAAAAATAGAAATTTAACTTCGGTTTGGTCTAGTTGATAGAGAATAGGAAAACTTTAATTATTGATAGATGGTAGGTTAAGTGTAAGTATTAGAGATAATTGTTGACTACAAACACACTTGTAACTTCCTGGATTGTTTTTTAGCCAAGATAGTACACCTATCACTAGAAAATTGTTTCTTGATGGGACATAAATTGCTTTATTTCAGGTTTGCTCTTGGGATCAAAATTTACCAAATTTAAAATTTCCATTCAATGATGTTCAAGTGAAGTCAGATTGAAATTTTCTTCTTTGATTTGTAATCCTGTGGAAAAAAGAAAAAGCTGAGCTGTAGGTCATTTTTATGGATTATAATTTCACTTGGTCCAAAGGGATTAGATAAATGAATAACAAATTTCGAAAAATAATGACCAAAATTTTCACTAGAACTCCTGTAGTAAGAAAAAATATCTACTTAATTTCTTCTTTGCAATTATTAAAAATGTTGGTTTTTAATAATTGACTCTTAGAAATGATCAACTTTAATGTTTGAAATGAATATAGAAAGACTTTATAATGAATGATACAGTGTAGGTGGGCTAACGCTTGCAAATAATTGCACATATTGAATGGTAGGAAGAAAAGTAGATGTTCTGTCAAATGCTAGACACCACAAAATCCATAACTAAAGTACTGCAATTAATTCGTTGAATGATAGATTTACCTGTTCACTAAATTGTGGCTGCTATTCGTTTAAACTCTCTGTGTTCCCAAGAGGCAAATTAGAGTTTTAATTTTAATTTCTTACAACTATACTTTTTACTAAACTATGAGTTAAAAATAATATCATTTAATAAAAAAGATTTATGATTTTTTCCTATATTGAACCTATTTTTTTGGGACTCAAACTGAAATGATAATTTATTGAAAATGTAGCTTCTGTCTTTCAGTGAATGACTTGTAGATGTTCCAACCTGGTGATCAAAGAGTTTACAATAACCATGAAACAGGTAAATAACTAAGCTATATGTTCATACAAGATATTCTGGCACAACACAAATATCTGCTGTTTCTCATGCAACTTGTTCCACTCAAAAGTTTTATGTACCTACACTACGTTGGATATAAATCATTACAGAACACAACAGAAGTTATGTAATCCTCATCTTTGTTTTTGCTTGTGTTTTCTTGATTCCGTATGTTTTTACTGTGCCATTATGTTCGTACTAGTTTTGGTTAAAAAAATGAAGACATCAATGATTGACAGTGCTCGTCCTACTATCATGCTCATTACCAGGGCGGGAAGAAGCTCCTATCATCAGAAAGCTTCTAAACTCTACTCTTGAATCATGTTATGTTGATTTCCTGGAATCCAAGTGATGGTCATGAAACCAACCCTTCACCATTTGCATTAGCTGAGCCTCAAACTTGTAAAGATCTTTGCACAAATCAAAGGAAAAAAACTGGTGGCAGTATTTTGTACATCAGGAATCTGTTTTTCGTTCAGCAGGAACTTCAGATACACTCTCAGAAACCGGTTTTACTGTCAAAGGCAAATCCACCAGTGTGCTTGGAGGAGCAAAATACATATGTAAGGACATCATGCAGATAATGATACCCAAAAAGAGCTGCAAATAGACAAATTAAGAAAAGAATAAACACTACGAAGAAACTGACAATGACACAGTAAAGACATGTTTATGAAATATAAAGGCAAATAACAAAACAGTGCAAATTAGGAACAGCTCTCTGCATCTTTACCTGTACTGTTGGCTTGAAGTTGAAGAGTATCACTGATAACACCATCGTCAAGAGCATTGCCATAGAGGTGGCATACACCTGAAAAAGAAAAGGTAACAATCTGATTATTCAGATAGAGAAACAAAAGGAAGAGCAAAGGAGCAACCATTCAACAGAGAGGAAAATAAACAAAATTCCCAATAAAATAAGGCATCACACAGTTCGGCTATTACACTCAGAGAAAATCTGTGTGTGATCTTAAAGTGATTCTATAACTTTTGACTACATTAAAACTGAAACTTCACTTTAATACCAGATAGGGCACTAGACTGCTGCTTTGCTTCTTACTTTAAGTAACAATAACATCAATGACAATACTCCAATTGACTAGCTATATGGTCATGCAACAAGCCTTACTGATAACTAGTATGGTAATGTGATGTTCTATGTAGAAGCTAAA